AATATTTTCAATTTAGAAGATGGAAACCCCATGAGCTTCTCAACTTATACCTCATTAGAGCAAGCAAAGCCCATAGCTATTTAAGTCATTAGGCACACACAGTCACGGCTTCATTAGTACAGTCGTTCTGTTGATACATTGAATGATCATGGATTGCAAGATCGATAATTGAACTTGATGATTACGTTAATCATTGGTCCCTGCCACAGGGCTGCTAAATGTATAGGCAGCTGATGACTGTGAATCGATTTACTTTAAAAAGGATAATTATTGTCCCTGAGGATAGTCTCAATGCAACTCCTAAAATTTATAAGATTCGACATTGTAAACCCTTGATCCAGGACTATTTAGAAGAGACTCTATTCGACTTGGTTTTCAAACCCCTCCCCTTACCCCTCCATGGTGTGAACATCTTTGATTTCATTAACAAATTGAATAGGACTCCCTCAGTTTGCGCAAGGTAAACAATTTTAATTTTAATGCATTAAAACAACTGCGCCTGTTCCGATTGTTTGATTGACGTTTTCGCTTTGGGTGTCAACCAGTGGAGAACTACAAGGCAAGCATTTGTCTTCATAGTTTCTAGTCTAGTTATTATAATTATTACTTAATTTCGGGAAAGAACAGGTAATAATAATAATAATAAATAGATGGAATGTGGGCTTTTAAAAATGTAGAGCTAGCAATTCGCGTTCCCCAGTTTGAGGTTAAACATATTTCAAGAACTCAATTGTTAAAACACTGTTAAATATGCTCCTTCAAGATGGATGGTAAAAAGAAATTGCAGTATAGAAATTTTGTTAAAAATTATTTCTGTTGCAAATTTCAGTTTAACTTTTCTCCCCTAAAGTTCTAAGTACGTCAAGAACGCCTCTTTACGCTGATATCAACAAAATTTTTAGTTATTGCGGAATGAGAAGTGTTGTAGCATGATGCCTGAGTAAATTATTTAATCTTCGGAGAATTAAAAATTTTTAGATCTTATTGATAATTTTTTTAAGTCGAGTTTTGCTCAAGCAGCCAGGAAACTTTCATGTCTTACGGCTGCTGCCTGGAAGTACTAAAACTCATTTAGCACACAGGAGCTCAATAGAGTTTGTGGAGAACACAACCATAGTATGACTAAACCAGAGGCCTTTCGAATAGTCAATGACTAAAAGGCAGGATGACCATTCATCGGTCAAAGCCAGTACGTGGTTATTATGGCAGAAAGTGTATATTATGACTAAGTTCTCCGTCTGTAACTAACCACCCAAATAAATGTATTCCAGATGCTACGTCGGTTTCCTCTCTAGTTTTGCGATAGCTTAGCTAATTCCGGGAGTTTTCCAAACATAGGAGAATCTGTCATCGAGATTACTGAGTATGGTCAAGGCTTGTTAGTGTAGCAATTCACTACAAGTTTACTCATTTGTAACTCTAAGAATAGCAGTAATTGCTTCAATGCTTATTTTATTTTACTGTATCATAATTGTAGTGCGGTGTGCGCGATAGACTTACCTCCACGTAGTGCATCCTGGACAGTGTATACGCATAAGGCAAAAAGTCGATAAACAGGCAATTAACATCAAACTACGACGATCCCACTGTATGCCATATACCACAACTTTCACAGTGCTCATCTCACCTCTTCTCTACCTTTGTGTCTGTCTCTTTTACACCTGTGAATCACTCTTCTCTTCACCCTCTTCACTTTTCATTAATTTGATGCTCCTCCCCTCTGAGAAGCCCAAAGTCAACTAATTGGCTAATGACAATCATCACAAAGCCTGTCATTTGATATAAATAAATGATATTAATGCTTTATTCCTCTACTTTACAATTACTCTCTTGGAAAAAGAAGTCAATGAAGGAACTGGTACATGTAAGTGGTGAAAGATTAAGTTAATTCAAAACAATGTAAATGTCGATTTTAATTAATTTCTTTCTTATTCATGATTCATCTGAGTTGGTCGGCAATGTAACAAATAATTTTTGATGGGCTAATTTTCCAGAAGCAGTAATGCGAGTATAGTAGACATTCACTTGTTTATTTCGAAGGAACGGCTCAAGAAAGGACTAATCAGAATTCATCGAAGTGAATTTTAAGATTTGAAATTAAATTTAAATTTTTTAATGGTAATTTTGGTTCCTATTACATTTCAAATGATTATTCTATTCCCACGTTGAACTCACTGAACTGTGAAAATAAAGGATTAATTCCTAAATTATTACCAAAGTAATTTCGAAAATGTCATTGATTTTTACCTTTTTATGTTGAATTATTTGCAAATTTGAATACTTGTGATAGGTGAGTACAACCCCTGCATTTCTTCCCATAACACAGCAATAGGTTATCGCCTTTCAAACGTCTCTGATTTGTGTTGTCATGGAGCTTGCAGTCTTTAATTTTTTTCTTTCACTCTCACACACTCTCTCTCTTCCTTCTTTAACGTTCCACTTTCTCCCCCCCCCCCCCCGACATCCCCGAATCTACGCTTATCTCTCACTCCTTCGAAACCAAGTGGATTTTGGCCATTCAAATTTGGGAATTTTGGTTGTAAATCCAAGAATTTCTCTTCAAAAAGAACTGCAGGCCTTTCCAATCGTGATATCCAAGTCAGTATTTACCATAAGGGCATTTAAGTTCACATAGGGAAAAGTTAGGGCTTGAAGACTATTCAGGACCCGAATCAAATGTTTATTTGATTGGAGTGTATTTAAATACTTTTGATCTTATGAGGCTTTAAATCACCATTAATCCAAATGATAAAAATTGTTTTGCTGCCAAACCGAATCTGATGATCAGTAAATAGCAGTCATTCCTAAATGAAAGGGGTGTGATAGACTTACCTCCACGTGGTACACCCTCGACAATGTATATTCATAAGGCAAAAAAGTCTATTAACGTCATGTCCTTGAAGAGTTAACGCAATTTTAGCACATAGCTGATGACCTGTTTAAAGTGATTCCCGACAATAGCTTTCAATTCCAGTCCAAATTCTGCTCGGTTTCGTGATGGTCTCGTTACCAAAGCAGACGTCAAACTCTATCGGAAGGACGTCACGTCAAAACTGGTTAGCTTAGAAACTCTATTAAATGATATTTCATAGTGATTGACCTTATTGTTCCTTAGGCTAGTGGAAGGTAGAATTCGGTAAGTTAACATATATATGTGGAGAGAGACATCTACGTTTTTATGCTTTTATAAAATGTTTAGCGATTTTGGTTAGTTTGTTATCGTTGCCATTATATTGTAACCGTTCAATCAAAGCTTACGGATAAACAAATTTCTTGGGGTTCCGTTTATTTACTATGACGCTAGCAGGTAATTTGGTTTAGTCTCTTGCCAAATCTGAGCTCATTGGATGGAGACCTATGGATGTAAATTAGGTTGGATTGGACGGCCACTTGGTCTAGAGCTTAGTCGTGTTTATTTGGATGAAATCATCTCATGGAGGATCTAAAAAGCACCTCTTAAGAAAAATGTCAACACATGGTGAAGCAGTAACTACCTCTAGTCTCCACTCCTGGGGGGGGGGGAAATAGACATTACCACCGGAAACAACATTGACTAGGTAGCGGGCACCTTAGTTGTCAGCAGAGCATACTACTTAAGTAGAGAAAGGCACTACTGACAAAACACTGAAAGATTCCAAGATATACTATTGGTGTAGGCTGGGCGTCTGTGTTATTTTTCTCCTACCAATCAAGTATACACACGCACTCTTCATTATAGGTAGTCTTCAAAATATAAAAATATTAACTTCAGTACAGTTGAGAGGGAGAGAGAGAAGTAAAGGAATGAAATATAGTCAAAGGGGCTGAGGTCGAGGGAAGGTTGAGAATGGAGGCAAGACAACTAAAGGGTTCCAAAATTTGATTTTACTTGAGTCAGGTGGTAGGCTTTTACTCACTGCTCATAGTTCGCTGCTTCATTTCCAATTTCCAGGTTCGTTAGAGAGACTGTTTCTGATGTATCGAAAGCACTTCTGTTAAACGGGATGCTTCCCCCTTGTGGAATATGGAGAAATCAAATGGAATGCTCTGTAATACGCGCGCAGAATCTACAAAGTTCACCCCTCGTGTGATGAATTATCGATTTTTGCCTTGTTTTAATCACGCTCGTGCCATGAAATTGAATCACATCACTGTTGCAATTATTTGATAATTACGCAGCCAATCGTTTCTCAGAACCCAAAAGCTGTAATAAGCAATTGTAAATTGTTAACCTTCCCGCCCGAACAGCAAAATCAAAAATGGGATTAGCGGAAATAGGTGACTAGGGAAAATCATCACCAAGGTTCACACTGCGATCCTCTCCTATTTTTACTGTTCGCCTAACTATGACTTAAATTCTAATGAATGAACACGTTATGTACGCTTAGTTTGAAAACAAAATAAACTACCACTAATCTTCCCTAAATTTGGGAGGAAATTAAAGAATGCTAACAACAATTCGTAAAATTGTGAGTGTGAATATGCAAAATTCGAGGGTTTTCGCAAAAAAGAACATTACATTCACGACTTCTCACCAAGGTAACTATTTTTACATTCAAACGGCTTAACCCGCCCACCCCCTCCCCCCCCACAAAAATCATCCAAATTTTCTAACAGTAGAAAATTGCAAACGAAAATCTTCGAAATGTATTTTCGCTATTCCTGTCAGATAAATCGTACCTTAAAAGCAAGCAAGTTGGTATAGCAGAAAGAGAGTTTTATAGGAATTAAGATTGGGGTTGGGGAGGGGGGATTTGGAGGGTGCAGAAGAATAAGAGGATTACTAAAAGTCGCACACCAGAAGCAGGAAACGGAAAAATGCAAATATTATTATTATTATCATCATCAACACCATCACACAGATTCGCAACATCGCCAAAAGGCAGGTAAATTTTAATTCATCAAAACGCATACGAAGCAAAGAAACCTAATTAACTGAGAACAAGGGGAGGGGGATGGACACGCCACAACAAGTAGAAAGTGGAAGTTTGGGAAAGAAAAAAAGATTTAATTCAGATCTTCTACTTTGAGGTATCACCTTGGTTCGATATCTCTTTGGAACTAGAGGCACCTCCCTTCTTCTTATCCTTGCCCTTTCGAGCGAATGACGGCATCTTGAAGCGGCGCTTCTTGCGGCTGATTTTAGAATCATCAAAGCTTCGCTAAAGAGATAACACATGAGGAATTTAATATTTTCTCAAAGAGAAGCAAATCTACGGTGCTAGAGGCTTTAAGTTACTTGACCAGCATCCACACTGGTATCGGAAAGTATTCCTTCATGTTCGATGTCACCGACTTGCCTTTGAGCTGGAATAACAAAAATATTGATCAAAGTTTGAGAAATAGATTGACAAATAGCAGAAAGAAGCTAAGGCGCCAGAGAACTCAAAAGAAAACAAGTTTGTACCAAAATCACTCTGGAGCTGAGTATGGGATTTATTAGCAGGGCTCAGCAGCGATGTTTAGAACAAAATTGGAGTCAGGTAGTTAAGAAATACGAGTAAAGAATGCAATAAACGTGGGACAAAAACTAAGTATAATTGCACAGTTAACCATAAACATTCAAATTTCTGGGATAGTTCTCCCAGAGTTAACCGAGGAACTGTTGAAAACAGAGATTATAATACGTTATCGTCTAAATTTGTAGGTGGTCCTCATTAAAATTCTCATTGTCCGATTTAAATCTGTTGAACCAAAATTGAGGTCCACGGACCAAGAATTTCAGCAAGGACTTCAGTAGCTTTGCAGACGTTCAGCCACATGATCGATTCCTTCGTAGCGTCCAGACAAAGACCCATTTATAAGACGTGTGATTTCTTACTGATGCCTTTAATAAACATTTTCTCAAGTAGAAGGTCCGTTACTGCAGTAGTTCGAAAGATGATTGTGATAACAGTTTTATCGTCATTGAACTGTTATAAATCAAAAGTCCACAAGTCAACACATCTCGAAATCTGGGCAATCTGACCAAGAAACGAAAGCAATGGCAAGAAGGTTTCTTAAGCACTTTCCAAACTGTTTAAGTGAACGAGTAAATCGGTAAATTTCAACAAAATAAACCGAATCAAACTATACCTCTAACAAACTCCAACTGCCAGCCAAAACTCCCTTAAATTTCAAGAAAAAAATCGATAAAAAATATCAAGCCTACGAGATGTCTTGGAGGCAGCTTCCAGAGTGGCAGCGCGTTTTCTTCGTTCCATTTCTTCTTCCTCCTCTTCAGTGGGAAGTCCCTTGGCCTTGCGTTCCACGTTACGTTTGTAGCGCTCCAATTCATCGTCAGTTACTTGGTCGAAAGGATTTGGAGAGAAGACGGATTGGAAGAGACCAACGTTATGTCTCTGATCGCGATTGATAATACCTGCCAAAGAAAGAAAATAGAAGTCAACTCGATTGTTGTGTTAATTGCATGCCTAAATATGGATAATGATACTTCAACGGTAGAGCTGTCGTACAACACAATTCTTTTGTTGGAATGGGTGTATGGTGGGGCGTCCAATTCAGTAAAACTCTGCGGTAGTGACAAAGGAAATGGTATCAGGACGAAATTATGACTATTCCTTCTTTATTGAGCTCGTTTATTGATTAAAAGGACCAATGGAAACAGTTCGATATTGCTCTGTCTGTTCCTGAGACTTATATAGCTATTCACTCTTACAATGTAGTGAGATAAAAAGATTGAATTCCTTAAACTTAATGAAAATATAAAGCTCCAATCCTTACAACGACATTGGCCAGAACTTGAACCTAAGACCCCTAGAAGGTATAATTGGCTTTACTGGAACCCTTTCTAAGATAAATTTTGGAGCTCGTTTTTAAAGGGCAACTAAAAACAATTTCTCAAGTCAAAGGATGTACTCTACTAGGTCTCGAATACATGCATTTAAATACACCATGGATGGTTCAAAAAGCCCAAAGCTCATTCAGAGGTCGTCGTTCATGCCGTGTGTGAATATACATCGAGCAAGGTAAATGCAATTCCAACCGCAAACAACGAACTTTAACTATCACCCCCATATATATTAGCTTAACTTTTATAAAAAAACACTATGCCAAAAATGCAAAATCAACATTAAACAGAAAGTACAAGTTTGAAATCATATTTAGACATATAAAGTTGTTCATCGCTGAAACAACAATGAATTCGACAATATTTACACCGATTTTAATTTGGAATATCACAACTAACTACTACATTGTGCGTGCATTACGCCTACTTATTACTCCTTTTAAATTAGTTAATTACACTGGGTGAAAGAGGAGCAATTTCAAAAGGTTGAGGGAAGGAAAACACGTTTCTATAATCCGAGACGTTAATTAATCATTGGAGATCGGATAAATCACAGAATTCTGCCAATAATAGTAGAATTCTTTGAAGATAGCTTTGAGTGAACTGCGCTATCCCTTATCATGTTCATATGCCTGAGGGTAGATAAAATTGGTCAATCTATTAAAGAAAACTGATCAAGAAAATCAACTCATTCACTTGGGTATTACAACATGAACGGCAAACAGCTCATAGGAAAGTGTTTCCGGAATTCAAATATTGGCAAAGCAACACTCACTGCTTCTAAGTGACCCCATTTCAACCCCTGCTTGACTAAGTGTAGATTATTGTCGATTGAAGGATTGAAAATGGTCGAATGCATACATATATATATATATATATATATATATATATATATATATTATTTGGAACTGCCTAGCATACAAGCCGGAGACATCAAGAGATGCAGTGACAGTGCGATTATAGATTAATTTAATTCCAAATTAGGCCTTTTCTTGCCGAAATTACTGTGTAGTCGCATGACAACGCAATTCAGTCATTTCAACAAATATTCAATATTTAAGTACAAACGCAAACAGCATTTACAAAAACACGCAAAATCGCTAGCTTTACACTCTCACTTGGATAGCAATCCGCCATTTTTCATCCAGTAAGTAGTAATAGAAGTGATGAAATTTGAGGAATAATTTCATCCAATCGATGCCCACATTGACGAACCTAAACTGCTACAAAAAACCCCAACAGAAAAAAAGGGGGAGGGGTGCGTTAATTGAGAAGTACTGCAGCAGTACTTAGCACTTAGTTCATCACTTCAGAGTGAAATCTGCTAATTCTATTGAAGTGTGCACACAGTAAAGAAAATCGAACAAACACGAGGTAGCGCGTTAAGGGTCTAACATTTGGAAGTACAAAAGGCGGGGAGACATTTAACCTCAAAGAGGCATAGTCTAAACGATATACCTGAAGGTATCAGCAATAATTACAACCAAGTCCTGGTTAGAATGTGCATCGACCGATTCATATTAGCCTTAGAAATCTTATTAAGGCTGCAAAGGATAACAGTAACGAGGAGCAACCAAAAGGCAGGTTAAATGAGATTCTGGGGGAGGGGGGGGGGAGGGATCAAACCTTTGCTAACAGCACCCACAACGACAACATGCCCAGGCTCTAGGGTAGGTGGGTTGGCAGGATCAAGACGTAGTAGAGTTCCACGCGGACTGACAACACGAGCAGGAGACATTGTGCCATCACGAGTGTCAGGAACAAGTTGATCATCGTCATCATCCAAGCCAAGACCTTCTAGAATCTTCGATTTGGGACCGGCGGTGAGAACATCTTTGTAGTACTTGTCTCGAACCTAAGTAACCGAAGGAGAAAGAGAAATTTGAATAGGTGTGTGTATAACAAAATTATTACACACTACGGAGAAGGGATTTAAAATTGAATTCAAATCTACATTAAAGAAGAAGCGCCATATTTCGATAGTTTAAGTGTGCAAGGAACCATATCTTTGCTGAATGCTACAAACCGACTAAATTTGCAAACAGTAAGGAATAATGACATCTGGGAACAGGAAATCGCGTGCATTTTTGAAGCTTTCAAGTTAACTATAGGTAATGATAATAATAATAAAAATGACCCCAAGGCCCATCCAAGAAAGCATTAGCCAACGTTAAACTTCGATAGTGGGATCAAGGAGCCTTCCTTTTGAGACACGAATTTTGGCCTCTATAGTAGTTAGACTAGGGTGTGCGATAGACTTAACTCCACGTAGTGCACCCACAGCAACGTATACTCGCACAGCAAAAAATTTATAAACCAGCAGTTGACCTCGAACTACCATGGCCCCACTGTATGCCATATTCGACCACTTTCAAAGTACTCACCTTACCTTTTCTCTGCATTTGTGTCTCTCTGTCTCATTTACATCTGTGAATCACTCTTCCCTCTCTCGAATTTTTCTCACTATGATGTTCCTCTTCCTCTCTGTGAAGCCCGAAGTCAACTAAAGGGCTAATGATAACTATCAAAACACCTGCCATTCGAAATAAATAAATTACTAAATGAGGAAACCAGGAACAGTGTAGGATAGTGCGCAAATTGGTTAATTGGACGTTGGTTGAAGAAAAAAACGTGCTAGTCATGTATCTTACACAGCGTATGAAAAGAAATCAAGAAGCTGCAGTTAAAGTTACGAGGCTTCAATTAATGCACCATATGCACATTCATTTAATGCATAACGAATGTCAATTCTCATTCCTCCATATATGCATGAAATAACTCAAATGACAACAATATGCAAAACTAATATCCGCAGTTTGGCTCAGGCAAAAACAAATAAAACCACATCAACAGAACAAAATGCAAAGAGCCGGCATATTGTGATCACACGAAGCGACATTATTAATCAATTCAAGCATGTAAACAATGTTGGCAGCTGATCTATCAGCAGTGCTTTTCTCCCCAAGTCATTTCAGATTATCTATTCTGTGAATGGTCCAATTCAATAACGTGTAGAAAATCGAAACGAAGACGCAAATTATAGATGTAGAGATGGAAGTAAACAAAATAATTTGATGTATTGGAGGATGAAGGAAGAATTTGACGGTCTAATGAGGCACAAGAGAGCATTCGCATTAGCTACTGCACCTAACCACGGTGACAATGATGATTATAGGAATCTATCAACATTTGAAAATTTACTAAAGAAAGACATGACCTGATGGTGGATTATGGGGTTGACGAAGGGCAAAGAGTACCACCAAAACGGAATTAAAGGTAAAGAGAAAGTGAGGTAACCATCTACAAATATTTGCTAACACAAATACTAATCCCACCAAAGTCAGCGACCTTGAGCATCAACTGGTGCTGTCTTGTTTTTTCAGTAAAATCGATCATTTAGTCACATATTGAAAAAAAACTATACTTGTATTCTACCTAATTCATGATTTATGACATTTTACTCTTTAGTCCATGGGAAGTCAAAGTACAGGTATAATTTTCGATGATATATCTAACAGATAACCGGAAGATTTCTCAAATCTAGTAGAACTGTTGCCTTCTAAGGTCTCATAAGGTCAACATGTATGAAACGTTGTCTAACACAATACAATCCAAATTACCTTTCATGTAAAAAAACTACTATACCAATTCTGACGAGAGCTGATGACTAATCTTAATAGGACCATGAAAATGTCAAGAAAATATCACTAAATTCAAGCGGACTGATGAACTTCCTACACCACTGCACAAAATTCACACTCCTACCAAGAATAGTAAGCAGAGCCTATGCCCTTCATTAGTTCGACTAATGCAATGTGTACCTTCTTAAGTATTATATAGTTCTCAAATAAAAGTGGTCTAAAATGGGCAACCAACCTTCTTCAAATTTTCTTTCAACTCTCTAGGATCAGCGCCCTGCGGTGCAAACTGATTCGGATCTTCACTAGCCAACAGAGTACCACCAGTTGTCTTTGTCGCTCCTTCAATCCAATGAGTAATTTTCTTGGGATTCGCAGTACCCACTTCCTCGATTTCCTCCTTCTTATAGGCGTTGGGTGTGTTAGAAAAGTGACTGCGTTGCAGTGAAAGGGTCTTAGCCCTATATGTGGCTGCTTCTTTGATCCTAGTGGCATCGTCTTTGTAGTAATTGGCAGCAAATGAGCTTGCAGCTGGTGGGATTTCAACATCACCCCTGAAACTGCGACCTAGACTAGCTGCTCGTCTAGCATGAGTAACTCGAGAACCGTCTAGGCTGTCTTCCGGAATGCAATGGGAACGAGAGGAAACACTGGGATGGACTTGACCCACACGGTAGAGGTGACCTGTACGATAACCGGCGGCGTCCAGACGACGCATCATCGCTTCAAATTCGAGTTCTCCCGGACGCCAATTGCGATCGGTTGCGGATCCTTGACCCCCTGTAGTTGCGTTCATCATGGCTTGATGATTATCATCGATTACACCTGCTGTAGGCATAACTAAATCGTCACTGCCTACACAGGCCAGTCGAAGCTGAAAAGGAAACAGGAAAAGATAGGGTAAAAAAGATGCCTCAGGACAATTGATGGGGAATAGATTTGAAACTATCTGAAAGGTTCACATAAGACCACCTTTACAAGAAACTGAAATCAGAAGAAATGCAATTCCAGTGGTTTATTCAAATTAGCATTTGAATATAGTAGGTGGCCTAAAAGACTCCAAAAATAGGGATGTTGGGGAATAAACCATCAAATTTCAGGCTCAAATTCAGGACCATAGTGCTAGATATAAATATATACACAGGAATAATGGATGAGTTTTCTATACCAACAGACGAAGCTTTACCCAGTGAAAAAATTAAAGAGCAAACACACCTGAGCCTCACAAGCGGAGACAACGAGATAAGCAGCCATCCAGGCTTCCTCAACAGATTTTCCCATTGCCAAGATTCCATACTTCCGAATAATCAGAATGCGTGGGTCTCCGTCAGCGGCGTTTTTCAGGCATGCAGCAATTGCAGCAGTTTCCGCCGCGTTGCGTTCCTCACCCTGCAAAAGTGGATCGATACTAGAAGGATCGTACGTGGCAGCGGTGCCCAACATCATTGCTTCTTGGCTGATTGGTGGAAGGCCGGATTTCATGCATGAGATCTATAGGAGAAAGCGTTTAAGAGTGTTTTGAAGAAATATTGAAATGATATATGAATGTTCCTCATGAAAATAAGTACAAGAATACTGTAATCAACTAAATGCGTTGCTATCGAGGAACTGGAAATGAGCAAAGTTAGTAACCCATCAGTCCAGTAAGGCGAAACCATGCCTGCCAACATTTTATGAAGAGGGAGTGGTGAGTGGCCAATGGTGGAAGACGATTGGTTTCTTCCAAATTTGTACCTCTTAGGGGTTCTTAGTTTAATCATAGTCTTTTCGACGTTTATGGGCCCTCATTCTATATTGTTCGGTCTTTGAGACTTTATTTAAAGGATATTTGTCAGAACCATGACTCCTACGTAATAATTATTACGGCTCAATAGTATTTTAAAGGAAAAAATGTACTTTATTATCGCCTCAGGATATAAAGACCCCAACATGCATCAAATAACGAGAATGATTAATTGATATGAGGAGTTCTTCGGTTTACTACTAAAAGTATGTGATAACAAAGAGGAAGAGAATGCACTTCCACCTATTCAGGGCAAAATTAAGAAACAAATTTTCAATAAACGGGTCCGTAAATTATAAACACTGTGATTGTCCAGGTCTAAACATGTCAATGTTGTTTAGAAAATAAAATAAATCGATACAATTAATACTGAGAATGGGCAAATACTTCCCCAATACAAGTTTAGGAACGAAATAATAAGGCGTGAATGAAATGGTTTTAAATAATAATCAAAGTAGAAATTACCTTGCCCAAAACATTAGTTGAGCGCCTTAGTATATTAGTTCAATTTTGGAATTAGGTCGCAACTAAGTAGTACGCAAAGTAGGTCAAAAAGAGACAAAGGAATAGGGAAACAGTAAAATGACCAACCACAAGAGGGGGAGGGAGGAGGTAACAAAGATAGGTAATTTTTCAATACCTTACTTAGAATGAAAATCATATAATTTTAATGAAATAGACTTACCGCACTCATTAATGGCTCTCTACTTAAGGTCATTATTGGAAGCCATTTTTTTTCAAAGAGGAAAGAAGTGCACATTTTTTTAATTAAAAAACCCCACTGCTGTATGTATGTGAGGCGTGTAAAGTGAATTGACTGCCAAGTAAACAAACGTCCACAAGGAGGCAATGCAATGAACGCACAGTCACGATATGCGTGTAGTGTGTAAGAGAGTGTGAAGTGCATTCTTAATATACACATAATCTACAGGCCCTCTCTCTCTCTCGCCCATTTAAGCTTGCGACGATCACGAAAAATTACGCTGGGCAGAGCTCTGCAGGTTAAAATAAATCGTTTTTAACTAAAGAGCATAGGACCCATATAATTCCGATAGGCTAATTACGTACTATTTACAACGTCATCAACTGTAGTGTACGGAAATGATATAGCGTACTTCTATCTACATTATCGGAAACCTAGTCAATGTGATAAATTCGCGAATAAATAAATAAACACTCATTTTAGGGAGAGAAATAGCAACTTGGAAATGAGAATCTCCCATTTTAGCGCCCACCTTATTGACCAGAATTAACCAGTACGTTTGTTAATTTCGCATAATGTGTCGCTAATCATGTTTGTAGTGTCCTCTTGAACCGATGAGTTATGTATCTTCTTAATTCAAGGACACGGGGTGCCTAGAAAAGTTCATTTGTTTTTATTACATCTAGGTCTGTCGGTCTGAGGCACAATGGAATTTGCAATTTAGCAACATGAATGGTGGCCTTCGGAGGTTTTATGAATAGGGGGAAAATACTGGCGCAATCAAGAGGCGACACAAGCCTTAACCTTGAACCAAGACATTGGTAACCTGCGGAACAACTCCGTTTTACCCATTTCTATTCAGCTATCTATCCTCCATTGATGTCACCCAATTATCACCGGGTTGAGTTGAACTCTTGACTTCTTGTTTGACAAATATATTAAGCTTGCTAACCAGCTTAAATATCAGTGTTCGGAAACGATACAATTAATAAAATAATCATTGTTACATACTGCGAAGGAATGCATGCATATTTATTACGCAAGCTGGACAACACTTTATCAGTAGCAGTATTGTGAAAATTCCTAATGTCAATAGACCTAATCTTTGAAAAGATTTAATTATTCAGTCAACATATAAAAAGACGAACAAGTGTACTGGAGCTACGTAATGGTGTAATTAATGTGAGTACCCCTGATTCTCTCAATAATATATTCAATCAGCGAAACATATCACTCCAAATATTTGCGAAGGAGAAGTAAACGAGTCACATGTACGAGAAGACAATCAAGTAAAAATCGTTACAAAACTCTGAAATCTTAAAAATATCGTTGTAAAAAAACAATAGGGAATAAAATGTAACCAATTCACGAGATTTCAAATATTGAAAAGCATTAATAAATTTTAGAAAAACCCTTAAGGACCAATCATCACGATTGTCAAATTCAAAATATCCGTATCTAGAGCAGCATCCGAATACACAGATAAAGTGAACAGTAGAATGTGGATGAATGATACATAACGCTCAAAACAGTGAGACATAAACAAATCATTAAAATGAAAATCAAACTTACTGCGATTGTAGGTGGAGTATTCAATTGAATAACACATCTGATCGCTGGCAGAGCTTCGTGAACGGCAGCATGCAACCTCCATCCTTGTTTATCAATACCCAAACCATTTGATCCACCATCAATAATACTTCCCCTTATATCCACTTTTAGAAGAGACAAAGCTGTGATTTCGTTGAATAGAAGTCCTTGAGGGTTAAATAGATACGAATCACCGTCTTTAAACACCTTGGCCTGGATATAAAAATAGGTAAGATTAACTCAAAACAGAACAGGAAGTGCGGTGAAAATGATGAGCAATCTTACAGAAATATGGCTCTTTGATCCCGAAGACCAACCGAAAATATCAACTAATCGATACGTTGATGCAACTTTGCAACGGATAACTTTCTCTGGTTTCGAATAAGTGACTTTTTGAGAATGTAAATCATTGATTGGAATAACTGGCACTGTTGCACCTTTAAAAATAAAAAATTATCATATTTTGAAAAAAAATTAAATCTTAAAATAGCAAAATGTATAAAATCACCCTTTGAAAATGCAGAAGAACCAAGCTTTGCATGGGGAGTAAGAACGTCAACAAGGTATTTAAGAGCCAAAACATTAGGACTAAGAACACCATCACGCATTTGCGATGCAACAATCTTTTCCAACTCTTTCCGAAAATCTGCAGAGTGCAGAATGAGTGAAACACGACGCCTTTGCTCCATTAGCTTTACATCTTCCTTGATGGCTGCCGGCCTTAAAAGATCTCTTATGTAATTGGGGTCATTTAGATCTATGGGAATATATTATATGGTAAGAAACAAACCCAAGCCATCAAGGAAATCACCACTGTGTGGCCTTAAAACATCCGTCATCCTCTGAACAAATCCCACTCGTATTTGCGGTAATGAACAGCGTTATTTAATGCACAAAAACAAAACCATTATTAAATAATAAATGAACATATTTTTATTAATTATGACTTAATATGATTTTATTCGTTATTTTGAATTTTGTTTCATTCTTATATGATCTATCAAAAAGACTGGTGCATTGTCGCGGATATTCGATGGAAAGCGGGAACTGAAATATGATCGAATAACATTAAATAAAATATTGAACAATATACTTTTGCTTAATTTATAGTTTTCTTTTGTTTTGTCTGCCTATTATTTAATAATAACCCGTTTGTTTGCTATTTTGAAACCTTAAAACTCTATGCTAACATATCAAAAACTGCCTACTTCTCATTGGTCTTGATACGATAGTCTGGGATACAGTAAGTACTGGTACACTTGTCTTCTAAAAGTATTATATTATATTGACGATCCGTGCAGATGGAACAAATAATTGAAATAATATTGTTTTAGAAATGGTAATGAAAATAACTTCAAGTCGTAGATCTATTCATATATATCACAAATCATTTTGGAGATATTTGGACAATTGAGGAAGATAGAGTTCATACTAAAATAATTCTACTTGTGACGCCATTTATTTATTTTTCTTAGTATTTTCGGATGTCAATTAGAATCTGTGGTGAAATTTTATCACCATGTGTACAGATATGCATCTGCTGCCTTAAGCAATTTCGCTTAACGATTAGTGTGGTTTTGATTCTATTATTTAAATATAGTTAATTAAATTTTTGAGCTTATTGTTGCGCAAATGCAACAGTTGATGTTCTTTTTAATTCAGAAAATTGTTATTAAATTTTTGCCATATGGTCTTTACCGATTGCATTCCCCTAGAGAAGATGTGTTTGCCGAATTTAGAAGATTTATACTCCATATAACAAGAGTGGCTTTAGTTGTTATTAAGTGTTGACTCTTTTAAATAGAGTCAAAATCACTTGAAAATTGTTTTCATTTATTAGAGATTTCCTTTTCTTCACGCCAAATGTCATATTAATAATATACTACATAGACATCAAATAGTATATCTCACTCTTATTTCTTAGTAGGAATTTGTAAAAGTTATATCCTCTTCTAGTAAATATGACTGCATTAATGTGTATAAATGTAATATTGACTAAAGTCATTCAAAGTTCTAAAATGGAACATTTGTTTTGGAGAACATTGCCGTTTCCCAGCGATTAGCATAAGCAATTATGCATAGAAAGAGCCATGTGTCATGAATTGTGTCAACCTTTGTGTTTATGAATTAAAATCAAGAATTTATTTCTTTATTTGTTATGTAAACTTTTCAATGCATAATTACTACCAAGGTCGAACAATTTTATAACCAGCGGCTGCTTCGCGTTCAATTGGGTACGAATTTGAACCGAATATGTCCTTTGCAGGTTTCAAGGAGATTTTTGTAAAGCAAAAGGTAATTTTACCTAAGTTTATTTATATGCTAACATATAAAATTTACTTCCTTTTATTGTTGCATCCGAACCCTATTAAATGTAGTTATCTAGTATGATTATAGTTTTTTTAACATTACCCTAATTTTAGTCCTATTAAGTATCCACATTTGGTTTTAAATTATTTTTTAGTAAAATAGGATATTGTTATATTATTTTGCTATTTTATAGACTTTTAGACCAAAGAAAAAATTTCCTCCGGAAACAATTCATTATCATCTTCACAAACATGCAGAAGCCTCCCTCAACGCTGGAATAGATCTTCGTGAAGCTGTTAAAAAGCCCCCAGATGAAGAACTCAATGACTGGATTGCTGTTCACGTGGTTGACTTTTACAATAGAATAAATCTAATCTACGGCACAATTTGCGATCGCTGCACAGAGGAAACATGTCCTCGAATGACGGGCGGTAAGAAATTCGAATATCACTGGCGTGATGATCATCATTACAAGAAACCCACCCCTATGCCCGCTCCCCTCTACATCAGTCTTCTAATGGATTGGATTGAAGAGCAGATTAATAATCCCAATATTTTCCCCACCTCTGTGGACGTCCCTTTTCCCAAGAACTACATTAATGTTGTGAAGAAAATCATGAGTCGACTGTATCGAGTTTTCGTCCATGTATATATCCATCATTTTGATCGACTGGTAGAGATTTCTGCGGAGGCACATGTGAATATATGCTACAAACATTTCTACTACTTTGTCACCTATTTTGATCTCATTGATAAGAAGGAATTGGCACCTCTTGTGAGTCTCTATTTTCTATGTAATTTTGAATTACATTAGCTTAATATAAACCGAAGATATTACAATTGAAGTCTAAGTAACCAGTAATGCGAGAGACTGCAGCATCGTTGACACTTTGGTGTCTGAGGCCTAACACTGCTATTAATTTCCAAACTTCCTTTCGGTGTCAGGAAACGTCATAGATTCACTTAAGAGATTACGGATTGGATTTGGTAGCAAATCTCCTTAAAGATAGTCTCTGCTTGTCCTAGTATATCCTTCATTCTGATAGTTTAAAGTAAGGAGGGTAATAGAGTCTTATTGTTTTGGAAAATGGAAACAGTTTTTCTCCTTTTTCCTGGTTTCCTTTACTCTTACTTCCATATCATTTTCAGCTCACTAGAAGGCACTGAAGCTTCCTTTATAAGAGCTCGTGCTATGTTTTGTACCTCTGCAATTTTGGTTGCGGTGTTTGGTGAATAAAGTTGGCTGGGTCACGATGGAGCAAATTGAAATAGAGTATATTAGCCCTTCTTTAAGTAGGCCACTGTTAATGATATGAGCATTAGGGCTCTTTATAAAGGGTTCGCAAGTGGTGTTCAGAAAATCCTACTCTGTTCTGTTATACTCACTATTTTAATGCTCTTCGACAATAATTGCTGTTAGACGTAAAATTTTACTTTCAAATTACTGACCTTGCATTCCTCTTCTAGAGCCCTTTTTCTGTTCCATTATTTTCTTTTGTGACATTTTCATTAACCAAATGGGTCTTTCCTTCAGTCCCCCCCCCCCCCCCCCCCCCCCCCCTCCCTCCCTCTTTCCGTATGAAATACCGACTTAATAGTCGGCGTGGCCAAGAGCATTTGTTTATTTTTGCGCACACACATCGAAAAAGGCCATTGTATCTTGGAATTTAATGTAGCATAAATCACATTCGCGTATGATGACTCCCTAAAAATTGTGTATTTACTCTGTGAAATTTTGATGACTGAGGGCAATGTATGAGAGCCTCCTGTGAAATGGGTACAGTTTAGGTGAACTTAGCAATAATTCCTTTATTACTGAAACATCATCATGTATTCTTCTCTCGGACGAACTTTCCTACATGTAAAATGCCTTCCGTGTCCTTACTAAACTGTTGGACGTCCAGTTGTCAAGACCTAAAATGTCGTCTTTTATATTGGCCATTTTGGACGTACTTTCTGAGCCTTATTGTCTCTCAATTCCTAATTGCACTTTCAAGTCAATATATGTAATGAACAATTTAATGATTAAGGGGTGTGGGGTGTGGGGGGGGGTTAGGGGAGACTATTTCTAACTAACTTATCTCGTTACTTGGGATGGGATTAAAATAGTTGGTGGCATGTAGGTGAATACTTTATTCCCTCCATTGGCTTGAACGGAATATGTAAGTAGAATATGGGCTGGTTCCTTACCACTGTTTGCTTTGCAAAATGAAGACTAATGTCTCAATAATTGCTTTATTTGCAAGTTGTGATATTAAAATCATGGGTGGGAATTTATGTAGTTTAGTTATGGGATCTTTTCTCTTATTGATCGTGTGCTCAAGCACTGTTTATCCAATCATTTGTTTCGCGATCTGTGAATGAGGTTGGATATTTATTAGCTCATTAACCCACGTCTTTCACTTCTTTTAACCCCATGTTACCCGGAAATTGTAGTGATGTTGCGGGAAAAATTATTCTCAAACTCAAAATACATCAACCGTGTGGGACTCCAATTACTTTTCTTGTTTGCTACATTTCCAGCAAATTTTTTTTTTAATTTTAAAAGGTTTCGCCTTCCCCCCCCCCCCCTCCCCCCCTTTACAAAAAGCTTTTTCCTAATTTTCCTCTCTGACCCCCGTCAGTCAATTAACGGTCAACGTTACGCTCCATTTACTCCACTAAAGGCACTTGCATTCTGCCTGTTTCCACCCTAGCGAATTTATTTGCTTTACTTAGTAATGGCCAATATTATTAATCCGTCTGGTTCTTTGCTCTGATAAGATTAAAGTTTTAACTATAACAGCAGGGTATCTTCTTCTTATCTAACCTGTCAGCAGCATTTATTTATTTCAAATGGCAGGCTTTATGATAGTTATCATTAGCCCAAAGGAGGAACATCAAAGTGATAAAAGTCGAGAGGAGGAATAGAATAGTGTTTGACAGTTGTGAAAGAGTCAGGCAGACACTAAGGCAGAGAAAAGGTAAGATGAGAATTGTGGAATGGGTCGAATATGACATACAGTGGGGTCGTGGTAGTTTGAAGTCAGAAGTCAACTGCCGCTTAACAGACTTGGAGGTAAGTCTATTGCACACCCCCCCCCCCCCCCCTATCAGCAACATAGATTGGTATCAATTTGAAAGCTGTCATTGCAAATTTTGGGTTCAGGCAAATTCCCATTGAGAGGTTGATCAATGATCCGTTTAATGGTTTGAGAAATTATGAATTCTACTCTTTCACCCAACCTCTGCTAGCGATATTGTCTTGTCTACTTGAAACTCTCTTTGAAATTATCTGTAATTCCTAATTTATTTTGCTAATTTATTGATTTCAGTTTTTTTGGTCAAAAGATGTGCCATTTTTAATGCCAAAGGAAAGCTCAGTTTTTTTTTCATGACACTTTAACCTTACTCCCTAAGAGTACATTCAATGAAAACAAATACAATGTGTTCATTATTCCTCTTAATTCAAAGTTGAACCTACTTTTCCATCGATACTATTTTGCCTGTCTGAATTTCGCTATAAAAATTGGACTCCGTTACGATTTTGCGATTTTTCAAAAGATGTATCTGGTTTTGAATGAGCAACAATATTTCTAAAGCGTCGTTTCTCCTCTCAAGGGGAATACCTTTCCTTAACCTCTGTTTTTGAGGAAAGCTACCTCGTTTTTAAGGTAACTCGCCCTCGTCACAGAGTATGCTTAGTCATCCGAAGTTGAGTCATACTTCCTTGCCATCTCTGAGTATCTCCACTAATTTTTGGGTGTTGAGATGGGAGCTAATTGTGGCCATCGATGAAACCTTTGTAAGCAGCAAACCATTTGCGATTTTGTGATCTCGGTTCATGTTTTATTTACTTGATTAACCCTTTAACACCCTTCGGACCGTACGGTCCTCTTTCGACGTGAGCTCCATTGGTATTAGACTCGTAATAGAATGCGTTATTGCCGTTTAAACATGCCCAAAACGTGTCTATAGCCTTCGCCTGATACACCACCAAAATTCATCACGTCGACATCAATCTGCTGTCAGACATGCGTGAATGCAGTTTGGTGCATTTTTCGAAAAATAAATCGAGTGTCAATGGCTTAGGCTAGTAATACTCTCCCCCATTAATAATCAAACATAGCTGCCGACTTTTAAGGACTTACAAATAGCATTTGCTCAAGTTGAGTCATAATTTCTCTTGGTTCCACACATGCAGGACCAGTTGCTGTACTAATTGCAAAAGAAGTTTTTTTTCATTGGTTAGCGCTTTTTAAACACCCACGATGCCATTGGTCGTTCTGCATGGGTCATGTTCTTTTTTTGAGTTGCTTATTCATGACTTCATACTCACAGATCTTTGCCAGAGGTCATAACAACTAATCATTCCAAATATGGTTTTTCCTGCAAGAGTATGGGAAGTAATAAAGTCAAATCGGTCAAAATGAGAACAATTATGGCGGCTTTTATTGTTTATCAAATTTGAATACCACTATTGTTCTGCCCACTCTGCCTCAGTGGCCCGTTTAGTCTCTCTTTATTGCGAACCTACTAGATCATGCCTTTGTCCCAACTACCAATTACACATCGATGAGCATTTTTCCCTCCTAATTTTTCTTCTTTCTACTTCGCCACATCCATTCACGCCCAATCGTCAATTTTGCACATATTTCAACTAAACCCTTAGTTTTCCTACTTATGAAAGGGGTTTGTTTCCCGTCAGCCTTGGGAAGATGTTTACTCCTATGAGGGCTTCTCCAATGCAATCGGATTAATTAACTTAATTAGGTATATTTTATTATCCTATGAAGCTTCCACGTATAATTGATATCACATGATTTTATTTTGGCCTAGTCAAGTCTTCGAGAATGTGGTTGCAACTGTTGCCCTAGCACATCACGCCCCCACTGTCGTCTGATCTATTATCTCGACATCACACAACTGCCGACTTTTATGTGGGTTTCTAATGGGGTCATTAAAAGTGCTACCCATTTACATACAAGGGCTATTGGCCATGTAGTTGTAAATTTTTCGCGTCTACCACCATGGGGGGGGGGGAGTTCTGCTTTCTCATAGGTTAGCCACACTGTGTGCTTACGGGCTTCTTATCATTTGTCATTTTATTTTCATTAGATAATTGATGCGTTCCGTACTGGTTTTTTGGCAGTAGTGTTAGCCTCCAGACCGATGATGTCTGTACTGCATCACATTTATCCATTTGGGATGACTAAGCGACATATCTGCAGAGGTCATTAGTCTGCACACCGAACAACATAGCTTTCAGCAAAAGTGGCTTTGCTTTAGCATTCATTAAATAGACACGGCAGTTACATCAAATAATATGCAATCTGAGGTTGAAAGGATGCTCGCAATTAGTGATCAGTCTCGGAATGAGCAGATTCCACAAGTTGTATTACCTTGATCATCGTCCTTATTAGTGTGGTCTCTTGTTGAATTAATGTCGTCTCTATCAAAGTCTGATTTTGGTTGTAGCCAAGCCCTATCTAGTTAGCAATAGGTCATAATGGAAAAAGAAATACCACTCCGTTGCATTATAAAAGAGGTACACTTTTATTACCGAGTAATTACTCGNGGGGGGGGGGGGTTGTTTAAAGCGTTCCTTTTTTATTTCCTCCATCTAAACTTTATACTTCTCTATGCTTTCTACTTTCCTTTTCAGCGTGAACTAACAGATCGGCTTTGCAAATGAGAGAGTGTGAGTGTGTTTGGGCATCATTTTCACTCTTCGCATTCCAGACATCCCTGCCATGTCTCCCTCCCACCCCCGTCCCCCCCCCCCCCATTNATGGAAATCATCGTGTCTATGCAACCACTTCCTCTTCCTGTTTC